ACCCTGACATCCTATGGGACGCATAATTGTGATGACGCATCGTGCTGGGATGGCTCCGTAGGAGCTCTGCTGCTGCTGCTGCTGCTGCTGCTGCGACTCTGACCAACGTTCAAGCTTGGGCTCTGGCGCTGCGTCTGCGGCTGTGCCAGGCTGGCTCGTGCATCTCTCTCTCACTGGTCGTCGTATGTCGCCGCTGGGATGTGTCACGGTCGGCCCGTGCACTCGCTGTGCTGTGCTGGCGTTTGTTATCGGGCCGACGCGTATGGCAGCTGTCCCTGCTTGGGCTCGCCGCTACTTGGTAGCAAGTCCCAAAGCCTGAGACGGGACGGCGGCTACGATGCAGAAGGAGAGAGGAGGGAGGCGGGAGGAAGGTTCGATACCACAGTGTCTTATACAAAACGAGAACGCAACGCAAGAGGGTTGGGACATAATAGTGTCGCGGGAAAACCGGTCCCTGTTGAATCGGTCCTATGTTGAACGGGTGTCCTGCCGAAGACAATCGATTAGAAATACATCCTTCCTCGTACAAATAATCGGTTTGTACTTGATCCCCACAGTACGGCTTTCATTTGCAACTCGTCACACAAGGGAACGACGTGTAAAGCTCAAGAAAGCTTTTCACTGAAAATCCAACCATCAGAAAACCATGTCGCAATTGCAACCCATCAGGAAACCATCAGAAAACCATGTCGCAGAAAGCTTTTCACTGAAAATCCAACCATCAGCTCTCCCACATAAGGATTGCAACTGCAAGCCTGTCGCAAGACGCCATGTCAAAATGCTCCCTCGCAACAGGAAACGACATCGCAAGGACACCATCGTGAGGAATAGGGGGAGGCGGAGGAGGACGGAAAGAACAAAAAATCAAGAAGGATGGAAGAAGACCGGCAGAGTGCCACCACATCCCCAGTCTGGCACTGGCCTGCGCCCCTAAATGAGGGGAAGCGAGGCCACGGGCACTCCGTTTCAGGCCTGTGCTGGGCCTACAGGGGCCTCCGGTGTCTGGGACCACAAGCTCGAGGGGCCTGCCGAGATCTTTGGGGACGAGGAGGGGGGGGGAGGAAGAGAGGAGGGCTGGATCGGTGGGGTCTGCTGCCTCTGCCGTCTGGAGGGGGGGGCCCTTCCGTGTCAGCACTGAGCATGCCCACGGGTGCGGCAGGCGCCTCCGCAGAAGGTGCCCAAGGTCACTGCAGACGTATCTCGTGAACGCAGGCGGCACTCTGTATTTGCGAAAGCCCGCGTGCAGGCATGCCTTGAACAAGGGTGACCACAATCGACTCATGGGAAAACGTCAGGCCTGTCCTGTCTACACCCTACACCGACCCCGCGCTAGTGGCGGGATAGGCAGGCATTGCCTCACATGCCTCCTTGCTGGCTGGAAGAGGAGACTGTGACATGGAGGAGCGGTGGACATAACGAGACAATGTAGACTGAATACACGGCGCTTGGAAACCTTGTGATAGGGATAGCATGCACAGACGATGGATCAGATCGAAGCCCGCAAGAATTGCATGCAAATCTAAGCAGGTGGGGGCTATCGGACACACACACACACACACACATCGGACCATAAACTTAGCCTGCCCACGGCTCAGAACGGACCAAAGGATGCAGAGCGTGCGAATACGTGGAGATGGCCCAGCACCGGATCCTGCCCACACATTGTGTACCTCGAACATATGTGCGCAACGCTCGCAAATTAAAAGAAGACGGCCAACCCGCTTGAAGGTAGAATATACATTGAGCGTGTACATGTCGCTGGCACGCAACTTCGAGGTCTTCTCAGTATCGTTCATGGTACGGGAGTTCGTTGAAGTTTGCACGTGGCAGGACTATAGCTATGCGCACTGCATGTTTCGAACACGAGTGGCGCGAAGGAGCAAGAGAGGCTTGATGAGACCACCTTCTACCGCCACCTCTTTCGTGGCGGAGAAAAGATGGAACGGCAAAGGTATCACAAATAGTTACATGGCATAAACGGCTACGAAAATCAGCCGCACAGCCGTACAGCTCCTCCGGATAAATTCAAATCCTCCGCACTCATTGGCGGTTGCGCTGGCCGCGGAACCCGCGGCACGGTACGAGGCGGAGGCGATGATGAAAGCGGGGTGTTTGTGGAGGGGGGGATACTCATTGACAACAAGACCCGTACTTTGGTGTTTGGGGCTTTCCTCTGCAGCGACAAGCTGGTTCTGCGCATTCGCCCTCTGACGCTAAGGCCCCAACATGTTCTGTCGGAAATGGTACCGAGAACCCAGAACAACAAGAAGTACCAAATCTGGGGACACACGACGATGGGGGGAGCGTCCACCCTTACTGGGGCTGCGTCCAAACAGTCCCCGTGAGGGTGTATCCCCGATGAGCGGCCTGATTTCTGGGGTGACCTCGGGGTTGGCGGCGAGCAAATTCGCCTGCGACTCGAGACAACGGCAGCCCAAAATCGGTCCCCAACTGCATCCAGGTGTCAGAAGTTCTTCGATCTGCGTTCAGCCGTGGCGACGAGGGGGCCCCTTGGAAGGTCTGCTACCGCTGTCTCAGCTCGCCCTCCTATGCGAGGACGAGGCGAGGCCGAGGCGGGGCTCGGCTGGCGGCGATAGGGCTGCGTCTGGGCAGGCCCCTGGGGTGTAGCCCCGAGTTCCCCCTCTTTTCTGATTTCCAAGCGGCCTAACGTCTGGGGTAGGATCTCGGAAATTGGCGGAGAGGAATCGCCTGCGACTCAAGATGCTGGACGTCCAATGGGCAGATTGGCACGTCCGAAGTGGGTGCGAAAAAATAGGCACGATTCCCAACAGCAAATGTTGTCCCAAAACAACAGCGGCCGCTGTTGGGCAGGACGCCCGCGGCGGCACCGACAGCGAGTCCTGATCAGAATGGTTAGGAACTGCTGTCGGTCTTCGTCCTCAGTCCTTTCCGTACCCACTTCGACTGTGGCGAGCAGAGGATGGAGGCCTCCTAGGTGGGGTCCGAGCACATGGGGTCGGAAGATCGCGCCGCATCGCCGACACATCGGAAACGCGGCTCGGTGGGGAGCCCGATCTTCTCCACGCCAACGTCGCCGATGCATCGCACACGTCGCTGGTGCATCACCGGTGCACCCGGGAGGGTCCCATCTGGGAGGCCTGGAGAGGACGAGGTGAGGCCGAGGCGAGGCCCCGCCAGCGGCGAGGGCGCGCGGGCGCCGGCCTCGCGGCGCGCGCGGCGCGTGCCTGGGGGGCGGGGCGGGAGCGGGCGCGGGGGAGGCCGCCACCGTTCCGGGAGCTGCGGGCCACCGCGCGGGCGCCTGCCGCGCCCAGGGGGGAGACGGAGGCGACGAAGGCCACGAAGGTGGCCACGGCGACGACGAGGCCAGCGACGACGACGACGACGACGACATCGACGACGACGACGACGCCATCGGCGACGATATCGACGACGACGAAGGCAACGGCGACGCTGAGGGCGACGACGAAGACAAGGACGAGGACGAGGACGACAGAACGGTGAACTCCTGATTGAAGATGGCATCTCCGGTGTCCAGCGGATCCGACACTGCCAGAGACCTACCAAGGGAGGGCCCAAAGAGGGCCCCCAAGAGGCCCCAAAGACAGCCCCAAGAGGGAGGAATTACCCGAGCTGACATTTCGAGCCCTCCACCCCAAGATGGCCTCCGAGACCGCCAGGAGTCCCCCAAGAGGCTCCAAAAGGGCCTACGAGAGGCCCGCAGGAGACTCCCAAGAGGCCCCCAAACGGCCTTCAAGAGGCCTCTCAAGAGACCACAAGAAGCATCTAAGATGCATCCGATAAACATCCCAAGCCAGGTGGCGGGTTGGGCCGATGGCCACTAGATATTCGCCGCCCTCGTAAACTGCTGGAAAGGTGTTGGCGAACCAGGCTAGACAACGATTCTTTCCAAAGGGAAGCACGCCAGAGGAACCGTGCATTTGCTTGAATGTGCGCGTGCACTCCACGCCTGTCCTCCCCTTCTCTCGCTCACTCTATCTTTGTCTCTGCTGTCTGCTCTGATATACAGACGGTGTACTTTACATGCCCTTACACTTCGCTCTGCACTCCATTGCCCCAGATCGAACCCCTCGGAGGCAACAAATCGTGAAGGCCAATAACCACAAATTGCTTCTCAAATCGGGCTACACCCGAGCTTGAACCGTGTACTCACACACTGACGGAAATCGCACCGCAGGTCTCAACGCCTGCTCGATCCCACAAGTTTCATAATGGCTCCCACCGTTCGCGCCTCGATCCCTATGCATTGCCTGGATACGGGCGCGGGAAAAGAGGCGCCACGAGACGGATATTGCTGGCGCTAAGGCGGAGGAAGAGGGGCAGACGACCTACGAAGCCGCTTCGAAGCACTGTCGCTGCCCTGGGAGGTGCCCCTAGATGCTCGAGGCGGGATACTGGAACGCTCCTGAGGAGGTTCAGGAGGACTCGGAGGTGATGGGAGGGGAACGGCAGGGGCCAGGCTCAGGAGACACACTCACGTGCTCTTACTTCTGCAATGGCACGGGCGTGCTCGAGCAGCGAAGCGGTCTTATCGGCCAAGCTCGTCGGTGCGCGCGAAGGTGACGGCGAACGCGGAGCAGGGCCTACCATACCCTGAGAAACTGTTGTCGGCGCCCTCTGCGATGCAGCGGAACTCCGATCGGGGCCTCCCATGCCCTGAGAAACTGGCGCTGCGTTCTGCGATGAGGGCGAACCCTGAATGCGCAGGCCTCTCATGCCCTGAAAAACGGCAATCGATGCTATCTGCGATGGAGGCGGACTCTGAGATGGTGAAGAACTGCTGCACCACTAGAATTCCGCAAAACGTTTGCACCACTGGAGTTCCGCAAGACGCGTGCACCACTGGAATTCCGCAAGACGCTTGCACCACGAGCCTCCCCCCCATGATTACCAATGATTACGAGGTCCAAAATATCTGTCGGCCTCTCCCCCAGACTTCCGCGCTCGAACCCTCCCCGCCAGGCCCTCCCCTCCAGGCCGTGCACGTCGCGCAGGTCGGCTCACACGACGGGGAGGAGCGCGGGCGACCCTGGTGCGCGAGGGAGGTCTCGGTGCACCTGGTGGGCCGACAGCGAGTGGCAGCGGCCGCAGCCGAGCAGGGCCCTTTCCCTCGCCATGCCTCGCAACCGCGCAGCGGGCGGGAACAAGGAGGAAGGGGGGAGAAGGAGCGAGGGGATGTGGGAGGAGGAGACCGACCACGGCATGGTCGCGTCGAGGCGACCCCGGCGTTGGCTTCTGACACCACGTGGACCGTTCAACCTGGAACGATCGGCGGCTTCTCGATCGCCACATCGTTCCAAACTGGTCGATTCTGGGACACTGGCGACGTTCAGCCTTGAAAGCCCGCGGCGGGGTCGCTGCCGCGTCAGCACGACACGAACCTGCCGTACCCGCCGTGATTATCAGTGGCTTTGCACACGCTCCGGCTCTCATCCCGCCAACCTGTCTCCCAAGCTGGTTCCCCCCTCGCCCCTCCCCTGCCCGCTCTGCCTCTTTTTCCCCCTGCCCCGCCCCGGCGCTCTCCCCTCCCCACCTTTCCGTGGCGCGCGCGCGCGCCCTCCGCCCCCCCCCCCCGCCCCGCGTGCCCAAAGTCGGGAGGGGCTCCTGCGCGCTGGGCTCGTCCGCTGGAGGGGCGCCTCGGCGCCCGAGCTGGCCGCGAGGTTGACGCCCGCTCGTGCTGTGCTTGTTCCCTGGGCGGTTCCCGTCGAGGGTGGGACGAGGAGCCCCCCCATCTCACGAACCACCAACCCGTGGATCGGTGACCTCCGATTCGGTGGCCCGTGGCTGGGTGGCCCCTGGTCCTGCGGCCCTGGTGTCTCGGTGGCCCTTGCTTCGGTGGCACGTGGTATCGCAGCCCGTGGCTCGGTGGCCGTGGTCTGGTGGCCCGTGATTTTGTGGCCCCTGGCCCTGTGCATGGTGGCCCTTGCCTCGGTGGTTCGTGTTTCGGTGGCCGATCTTCGGAGGCCCGTCGTCAGGTGGCCCGTGGTGCGATGCTTCGTGGTTGTGACGCGAGGGGGTGGGGGGAGGAGGAGGAGGAGGAGGAGGAGGAGGAGGAGGAGGAGGAGGAGGAGGAGGAGGAGGGGACCCATCCAGCCGAACGGCTGCACAGAAACTGGAGAGGGCCGCCATGGCGCGGGCAGCCAGCCGCGCTCGGCACCGAAAAGAAAAACCATGCGACAACTGGACCTGACTCTAGATCTGCCCGATCCTCCCGTCTCCCCCCCCCTGCACCTGGTGTGCCAGACCTCGCAACGGTGGGCCTTGTCCAGAATCCGTGCTCTGGTGCGGATCACGAGCGCGCCTCGCCTCCGCCGTCTTCGGTACGGAGCGCGCCCCGCCTCCGCCGTCGTCGTGGTGTCGTGATGCGTGCTGCTCTGCTCGGTGCTCGCCTCCTTTACCAAAGAGGGCCACTGGTACCCACGAGGCACTCCCTGCGAGCCCCCAGGCGGTCTGCGGAACGAGCGCAGACCCACACCAGTCGACACCCAGCTCCTCCAACACCGCATCGACCCAGAAGGCGAAAGCGAGCTCCGCGCCGCCCCGGCACAACTAAACGCGCCGCTACAGCGGCGGGCAGCTCGGCCACTCGGCCGGCGGGGTCCGCGCCGAGCGCCGTCCCAAGTTTCCTCTCCCCCACCTCGGACAAAGATTGGCCCCGGACCAAGCCAGGTTGGCGGACCAGCCGTGTCCCTGCCGTCGGGCGACTCATCCGTCCCCTGACAGATCGCCGCATGGGCCTTGCAGAAAGGTGCGCACCCATCGGGAACGTCGCCGCCTTACCCCCCTCCGCTGGTCCATGCAGCCATCGTGCTACCATAAGTAGCGACAAGATTTTCTGGCCACGGCAAACCTCAGACACGAGAAGGTTCCCCGTCCAGACCTGAGGGACTGCCCGAATACCAGAGCCCCCCTGGGACCCAGTGGCGCTTGTTTCAGCGTCTTGGCTGTGCCTCTGATCGCGCCCAAACTCCGCGAGCGGCCAGAGTGGGGGCACGGAGAAGAATCTCTGGCTTCTGGAGGCCAGGCTTCCTCCACGTGCTACCCCCGTTGGCGTCCAGAATTGGAGGCAGCAGCGGGGGTAAGGATACTGATTCGATCCCAGATGTCCTCTCCTCCTGCTCCACCTAGGTTTTCATCATCATGATTAGCTGCATCATTGATACGATTGAAAGTCCTACGAGTGTTAGTATCACTATGAGTATGGTTGTTGTTGTTATTCGATGTTGGTGTTACTGGTATTGTTAGTAGTGGTAGCAGTAGTAGTAGTAGTAGTAGTAGTAGTAGTAGTAGTAGTAGTAGTAGTCGTAGTAGTAGTAGTAGTAGTAGCAGTCAGTAGTAGTAGCAGTCAGTAGCAGTGCTAGTAGTAGTTCTGATAGAAATAGTAGTAGTAGTAGTAGTAGTAGTAGTAGTAGTAGTAGTAGTAGTAGTAGTAGTAGTGATAGTAGTACTAGCAGTAGTAGTAGTAGTAGTAGTAATAGTAGTAGTAGTAGTAGTAGTAGTAGTAGTAGTAATAGTAGTAGTAGTAGTAGTAGTAGTAGTAGTAGTAGTAGTAGTAGTAGTAGTAGTAGTAGTAGTAGTAGTAGTAGTAGTAGTAGTAGTAGTAGTAGTAGTAGTAGTAGTAGTAGTAGTAGTAGTAGTAGTAGTTGATGTAGTAGTAGTTATAGTAGTAGCTAGCTAGTAGTAGTAGTAGTAGTAGTAGTAGTAGTAGTAGTAGTAGTAGTAGTAGTAGTAGTAGTAGTAGTAGTAGTAGTAGTAGTAGTAGTAGTAGTAGTAGTAGTAGTAGTAGTAGTAGTAGTAGTAGTAGTAGTAGTAGTAGTAGTAGTAGTAGTAGTAGTAGTAGTAGTAGTAGTAGTAGTAGTAGTAGTAGGTAGTAGTAGTAGTAGTAGTAGTAGTAGTAGTAGTAGTAGTAGTAGTAGTAGTAGTAGTAGTAGTAGTAGTAGTAGTAGTAATTGTAGTAGTAGTAGTAGTAGGAGGAGGAGGAGTAGTAGTAGCAGTAGTAGTAGTAGTGGTAGTAGTAGCAGTATGACTAATCTTAGTGATGTGGTTAGTATTCGTGTTATCACGGTGATTGCTACCGTTCGTATTACTACTATCATTGTCAGCATCATCATGCTCATGCTCATGCTCTAACTGCTGCGTGCCTGAAGAATCCCATTATTACTATTAGTATCCGGCTCCAGCGTTCCTCCCCAGCCGTGGACACCGGAAGACTCCCAGCGGCCCAGGGAAGGGGAAACACAACCAGACACCTCTACTCTCTATCCTCCTCTCCCCACCTGAGTGCCCCTCCTCTCGGGGTGAACGAAAGGTGGGGATCGGATACAGAAAGCTTGCGGAATCGGCTGCATCTGGCCTCTCTGGCGCCTCCCAGCGCAGGAAACGACCATGAATCAAGGAACGTTCCTGGCAGCGGAGTCGGAACCAGCTGCACGCAGCAGATCCTTCCCCCCCCCCTTGCCTGATCCATCCTTCTCTCTCTCTCTCTCGCCCGCCTCGGGCCTCCCCACCGCCCTCGAAAGAGGAGGCACTTCTCCCTCCTGCCTTCTCCCTCCATTTCCCTTGAACGGATGTATTCCCCTCCCTCCCCGTGCCTCCCCTCGGATCATCGTTCCCCTTCCTCATCATACTTCGGGTACGTGCTGACACGGATCGGGGAAAATACCCCTCGAAATATGCAACCAATGCCGCCTGAATGGGCGACGGGCGGCATTGAAATGGAACACTAATCCACGCACCCTAATCTTCCATTCTCCTCCCCCCTCCTCCACCTCATCCTCCTCGGCCTCCTCTTTTTACCCTCTCCGTTGCCCCGGCGGCGCACGTGGCTGATGGGTTTCTGGATCTGGCCGGGCCTCCTCGGGGGCTCCATCTCGTGGTCGCTGCCTGGGCAACCAATCCGCGGGACAATCATTACTGCTGCGACCAAAATGAAAAGGGCCCGGCACAACTAGAGAGGCGCATGCTCGTTCAATGCCATTCGTCACACTCGGCAACCACATGTTACGCGAAATGCAAGTAGCGATGCAACACATGTTGCTGGTGCGACCAACGACAACCATGTGGCATAGAGCATATACTTATACTCCTACATACACGCACTGTTATGCCAAGGCGCGCGTCTGTTCGAATGGGGCGGCGTGATACGCGCGCGATTGCGAAAACGTGCGCTGAGGCACACTTACTTAATTGGCCGATTATCAAGACCACCTTCAAAGACATACGGACGCTCTACATGTCAAAACCAAACACGTACCAAACGAAATCTGCCACCGTGCCTGCACGGAATGGGCGTGTCAGATTGCTCATGTGCGGGCTGATGTTTGCTTCGTGCTTTGTTGGGCCCGACTCCCCTCTTCTCCCACTGCCCTCGAACGTCGCCCCCGCCCTCTCTGGGCCTCTCTGGAAACATAATGAAAATACTGTTCCACCCTGTATCACACATCAAATAATGCGAGCCCCGAAAACGTCAAAAACAACGCGGCAACGTCCGATGGTACACTGCTGCCTTCCCTGCTGATGGCATGCAGGAGGAATGTACAGTGACGGTGACGAGAAGGATGGGGATCGCTGTCTGCTCAAAGGGGCCGCATGGGAATGCGGCGTCAGACGGGGCGCGCGCGCCTTCAGCCAATGGCAACTGAGGGGCGCGCGATCTGCCCCCCGCACGCCCCCCTTGAAAGTCGGAAGGGGGGATGAGCAAACGCTACGTTCTGATGCCCTGAGTTGGCCCAAGGTGCGCATACACAATAATTCAATGCGTTGGGCAAAACGGCCCGAAAGAGCGAGCCCGAACGGGCCCATCCCCCGAAATAATTCTTTACCTTGAAATAATTCAACATCCTCTAAACGTAAAAGCTAAGAGCCTATAAAAAATTAAATCCTAAAAGCCCTTAAGTCCCTGCTTCGGCCGCCCCCCCCATTTTGGCGCACCCCTCACGCAGATCCTTGCCCTCGGAGCGCCAGGAATGGCGTTCTGGGAGGATCTGCAAATCCCAGGGTGCGCCCCTCACGCAGATCCTTGGCCTCGGAGCGCCAGGAATGGCGCCGGGCGCCCCCGCGGCGGGCGAGGCGGCCGCGGGCGCTGCGGCCCCCCCTCTGCGAGCTCGCGGGAGGGCGGCCCGGTGGGCGCGGGGTGGCGCGCCGACCCTTCGGCGGCGCAGGCGGCCGTGGGCCAGCTGGGCGGTGCGCCCACGGCCGCGGGGGGCCCTGCGTCGCACAGGGACTCGCGTCAATAAACGTGGATCTTGCGTGCAACCTCTCCGCCGCTGGGCGGCGTCCCTGCGTCGCACAGGGACTCGCGTCAAAAAATGTGGTTCTTCAAATCGCGTCGTCACGCGCGCGGGCCGCATCGCCGTTGCAGCCGCGTCCCAGGTGTCTTTGCGCGGCCGCGTCGTCGTCGTTTTGAAAACAATATCAACGTCGTCGTCATCGGTGTCGTCCTCGTCGTCGTTGTGCGAGTCGCGTGTTGATGCCGCATCGAGATCAATATGTCTTGGGTCATGGGTGGGTGGGACACGGTCAAGTGGGCTGCAAGTTTGGGCTCGTGGACCCTAAGCCCTAAACCCTAAACCTTCAAGACGAAAAAAACACCACGTATTGAGCAAGCTCGAATGGCGCCATTGCGAAAGACAATGAAAAGGAACGAACCGGTGCTTCGTCCCCAGGGGGTCCCGGGGTGTCCGGGGGAGGTCCCGGAAGCGTACCGGGGGGGTCCCGGCCCGGGGCGGTCCCGGGGCGAGCCCGGGGAGGTTCCGCGGTTGGAGCCCGAGCGCGGAGTGCGCCGCATCCGAGCGTGCGAGCGGGCACGCGCGAAAGGCGCGCAACGGGCGCTTCTGGGGCGGCTGGGGGACAGCCGCCGCGCGGGAAGGGGCGCGATCTTCGAGCGGGCACGCGCGGAAGCGCTCTCGGCGATGACGCAGACCAATTGAAACCGTTGCGACACCCGCAGACACTAATACGTTGTGTAAACCTTAATCCCTTCTGCAGTAGCGCAGTCGCGATGGCCGAAGAAGTGAGACATCGTCGCGGGGGCGACGGGCCATGTCAAGCGAAAGTGTTTTTGGTCTCAATGGCAAGTCGCGGGCCTCGCGATGAGGCGCAATCATATGTTGGCGGTCGTCCGATTGAGCACGGGCGGCCGTGAACAAACGCTCGCTATCCCCCGCCATTGCCCCAATCTCCATCAGGGTCGGGGGGGGGGGGGGGGGGGCGTGAATCCGCCGCCACGTGCACAGCAAAACGCAACATTACACAAGGTAGGCAGCAACAAGCGGGCTCAACAAGGAAGGTTGACCCGCGCGCAAGCCAGTTCCCTTGCAAGCAAGTTGCCTCGCAGGCAAGTCACATTGCAGATGGCAGCTCTTAGGCGATCTTGTCTGGCCAGCCCTGTATGGAGTGAGTCGTTTACGGTCATGCTTGAAGGATTGCGTTCCTCCCATAACCTGTTGGAGCATGTCTCTGTCGATGCTCCCTGTGGTGTGGCTGTCTGCGGTCGCGTCGCGAATGTCACGCCATTGCACGCAATGCGCCTCGCTCCATCACCTGTCGCATCCAACTGATGTGACCCAACAGCGTGCGCTCAATCGGTTTCTCCCGGTCTTTGCTTCACAAAGACTTGCAGACATATTTAGCACCGATGGTCACAGTGACCTTAACGCTCAGGCCGCCCCTTTCAAGTATATCCTTCAACTGAGTGGGCGTCGGCGGCCCCGCGTGGAGCTCGCGAAAAGCGACGACCGTGGGATAGGAGTCCTCCAAGTTCTGGGCTGCAGCAAGTGTCTCCGCTGAGTAGCTCGAACGGACCTGCGCGCGATGAGACTTGCAGTGCGCGTCGACAGAATGGACGACAGGCTTACCAGCATGCGTTTCCACGCCGTAGCAGGTTTGCCCCGCGAATGCCATAGCCTTTGGCCTCGCCCTCGGCATCTCCGCTTAGACGCCAGTAGCCGGAGTCGCTGCACTGGACGACCTCGCCCGTTGGAATCATCGTTTGATAGAAGATTTTCTCATGGCAGGCCTGCAAATGTCCGGTAATCGCGCTCAGTCGTCGCACTTGAATGGCGGTCGGGTTCGTGGACACGCTGTAGAGAAACAACATATACCATTAACCACACCTGCGTGATCAAGGCGAAAACCATGGCGCCTCTGAGACTGACAAACATGTTAGTGACCATCTTCGAAGCCTTGGCTCCAGCGTCTGCGCCAGTGAGTTCATGATGTTGGATGGGACGGATCTTTTTTGTTTCTAAATAAATTCGTCTTGAGCAGGTGTAACATTTCCGTCGCCGTCCTTTGTGTACCTCACAGCACAATTCGTACATGCGTGAGTTTGTTGACTTTACAGTTGCCAAGAATATGTCATCAACGCACTCGACGCACCTGTCGATCATGTCATCACTGCCGGCCATGTTCATGTCATCCACGCGCTGGGCTGCAAGAGTCCGAGCAAGTCTCGAACTCCTCGTTTTAAGGCACGCGTTTGAGACCGAACCCTCTCGCGGTCTTTCCGGACATCAGTGACAGTGAGAGGGCTCTTGGCGCGCCCTTGGTGCCGGTGCCTGGCGTGAGGCACCGTAGGCAGTGCCTCGACTCATCGTAGAACTCGAATCCTGGAAGGGATCTGAGCACAGATGCTGACCCAGGTGGCAATGTAAAGCACGCCACGCGTGCCTTTTCAATGGTTGCTTCAGCAAGGTCCTGATAGCGAGTCCTTTTTTTTCAGGAAAGCCATGTTGATGTCGAAGGAAGCAATGATCCACTGCCTCTTGCACGCTGCCGCGCTGGCGAGCACTCTCTGACTCGACCGACGCGCCCTTCCTGGAAAAAGTCTCCAGATCGAAGGCTTCGAGGGCCATGGGCCCCCGAAGTACCAAGCGCAGTCTGATGGTACGTTCCATCTCGCCCTTCGCGTTCTTCACGAACGTCCATGTACATGCGTATCTCGAAGTCATGATGTTTGGCGCTTTTGACATATCTGGAATTTTGGAGCACTCGTAGTAAAGCCATGCCTTGAGAACAATGTACAGGGCAAAAGATACCTTGACTAGATTCGCCTGGATGTCGGCCTTCGCGGGGAGGTCGCCCTCCTGGACGACTGCCGCTCGATTGGCTGCAGCGGCCACGTATACTCGCATAATGGTCACACAATCGAGGTCCAGTATTGTGCGCTGTCGTTCGGATAAGACCACTTTGGACATGTCTGCAGTGAAACAGAGATCTACAGATTGTCCGTGCTCGTCAGAGTCCCATCCATAACGGTCGCCTTCGTCCGTGCAACACAGTGGGGCAGGATATGTCTCCGTTGCGTCTATATCATGTGGGCTGCCCCGCGTAGGCAGGTTCTCCCGCCGTTCTTCAGATTGTCGGTGATCATCTGTGCGGATGCAGTTTAGAGGGCGTCTGCTGGAGTCGCCTCCAGGAGTACTCTTTCCATAATCCATGATACGTGCCTCGAGGTCCGCTTCTGGTTCCTCATAAATGGTACGAAACCGTCAATTCTCCTGTGGTGGTTCAGCTTCTGGGGCTTCTCTGGCGTCGTTGTCTTGCGTTTGTGCGTCAGCCAATTCTTCAAACTTCGTCATGTCTTGGTCGAAGCCCGCTAAAGGTTTGGTGGTCTGCAGGCACCGGATGATCCTAGAATGCGCTGGTCAATATGTTTAGGGCAGTGCCTTCGGCTTCGTAGTCGTGGAAGCCTGGATTCACGTCATTGCCATAGTGCACCAATGTACAGCTGTCAACATAGGGCGCCCGAGGTAGCTCGCGAATGCTCGTAGCTCACCTGACAGACTACATCCTCGATGCGAAAGAAATTCCTGATGAGGTAAGGGAGAACTAAATGTACTTAAGGAGATAGTCGGCTCGCACTTGTAATCTAGAACATTCCC